AAAAAAAGAAAGAAAAAATTGGGGGAATCATGCAATTTAACAGAATTGAGATTGAAAAAATCTAAAATATTGGAATTTGATCTGATCTGAAATGATTTCAATAAGAGAATATTTGAGAAAATGTCATTTTATACAATCAAAAAAATCATTTATTAAAACATTATTGGTATGTTAAGTTGAATAACAAAAATTGAATGATTTTTGCTTTTCAAAAGAAAAAAAAATTTCCAATTTAATAATGTTGAAATAAGGCTTTCTTAATAGTTTATTGTAATCGAATATTTCAAACATTTTTACACTTTTCAGGTGCTATGAAGAGAAATACCATCAGGTAATTACGTTTATTACCTAATTTGAAAATTTTAAATTTTTAAAAATTAACCTTAACTTATTGTTTGTTTTTAACCTAAAGTTATTGTATCGCTTTTATTCAAGTTAAAAAGCCTTACTTTATACATATATGATGATATTTTGTATAATTTTAAAATTCCAAAATGTTTGGAATAGATTTTTTTATAAATTGCAGTATAATTTAAAGATAAAATTTCGTACTTTTATTATAAAATTTGTTTAACCAAAACCAAAAACTCTTCGTAAATTTGCAAAAATTTTTATCCTGAATCCATCTGAAAAATTTTACGCAAAGTATCAGGAAAACTTATATAATACTTTAAACTCTTTCCAACTAGCCATATACATTTGGATTGCGAAGTGACTTTTAACCTTTCCAACCAGCCACATACCTTTAGATTGCGAAATGACTTTTAACCTTTTCAACAAGCCAATACATTTTTTTTTTTTTGGATTACGAAATGAATGGAACAGTTGATTTATATATACCTTTCGTACAGGTAGCAGTTATGCAAAAAGAATGATCGTGAAAATTTCAGCGATGAATTATCAAATACATTTTCTTTGAATGATCGAGAATGGAACAGTACAGGAGAAATATTTATAGTATTCAAGAGAATTTGGTTGGAAAATTGAATGCCAATGAATGCGACATCCGCGGTAACGCCAAAATGATAGTGTCATCGATGATTCGAATTGAACAAACAACACAAAAGATCTAAACTTTAGCAGATTCAAGGTTGAAAGTTATGAAAAACACAGCTAAACATCATTGTCACAACAAATGATATAATATAAAAAGTAATAAATTTAAAATTGGTAATTCTGAAGGAATATGACTCTGAAGGAAATCTTCATATATCAGGTATCATATTAAAGTAAATTAGTGTCTGGTATATACCAAACTTGAATTTAACTGCATTAACTTGGAAAAGATTTCTCATATTCTTCTTTTTTTTTTTTAAACAAGGATCAAAAGATAAAATGATTTAATTTTACATTCATTTAATCTAAATATCATCTATCACTTTGCAATTTATTGCAAAAATGCTTGTTTTTAACAATTCTTGAAATTTTCAAAATTAATCTCTCATAGCTTTTATAATAATTTTGTTGACTGAAAATGTCATTGGATGATCAAAAATCAAAACGTTAAAATTGTACATTAATATATTTGGAAATAAGCAATTTGTTTTATACAAAAATGTAACGGAAACAAAGAATAGATCACTGACCTGAATTATGAAAGGAAACAATATCGTTCTTTGATTCAAAATTCCGGATTGATATTTTTGAAATATCCGTTAAAATAAACTGATGAAAATTTAAATGCCTTTTTTTTTCCTAAATAATTACTGCCTCTTTATACTAGTAATTAGTGAAATATACAATTCATTCATTTGTTGTAATTTTTAGAGATGAGAATTTTCGGAAAGAAAAATTAAAAGTAATACAATATTACGTCATTTGGTATTTCAATTTCATCTAATCAAAATATCTTAAAATAAAAAAAAAAATAGCAGTAGAGTTGAAACTATAGTAAAATTTTATACTTAACAAAACTCGCTTTGTGAAATTCTGGCTTATCTAAAGTAATCGTGTTAATTAAAAAAAAAAAATTAGTTAAATAAAAATGGTAGCTATATGATTGGTATATAGCATTAGTACCTTTTCTTCAGGGACAATTTCAGTTATCGATTATTGCTGCTAGATGATAGGATGATATACATCAGTTAGTTAAACATATTATCAGTGCTACAATTATTGATGATTAATTCTAATTAAATTCACTAATGTTTCACTCTTAACGATATATTACAATCTTTCGTTTATTTTGATGTAATTTTATGCAGAATAATTTAACGGGAATTTATCAAATTGATTGAAATTATAAAATGAAGAAAAACAGTGATATGACAGAAAAAAGAAAAATATCCCATACTTGGTGTAAGTTTAATTTTTTGGTGTAAAGTTTAACTTAAAAGCAGAGATAATAATGAATCTGTGAAAAATTTTTTTCAGAAATTATGGTTACAATGTTATAAACATTACCATTCATTAATTGTTTAAAGTCAAATAGTTCAAAGTTTTGATAGTTTAACCAATGATCGGATGATTAACCTTACATATACGATCAATTATTCGTATCCCATTAATTGGGATAACTAAGCAGCCCGATAATCTTTGTAAGCATAATTGATTACAAATGAATCGTTGAATGTCAATTTCGAACCATTTACATACATACATTTTCCGTAAACATTTGAATCATTTTTCAATTTTCAATCACATGATACCTTACTGTAACCTCCTGATCTCCTTCCTTTTCCTTCTCATCCCATAAGAGGAATTTTCCGGATTTTTCAAGATTAGTAAAGGGATGAAAAAAGAGGAGAAAGGAAATATACATTGGAGTAAAGTAAAAAGGGTATAGGAGAAATACCGGATAACTATATCAAAAGTAATTCTGTGGTCATGTGATATATGAAAAACAGGAAATGACATGCAATCTACCAAGCTATCTTATACGTTGCAAATCTGAAGACGTAAAAGAAACAACTGACGCTGTTTTTTTTTTTTTTCTTTTTAGTATGTTTTCCGGTGAATTATACATCTGTCAGTTTCAAAGAATTATATCATCCAATGATAATTAGATCGGGAGGAAATAATTTGCGGTCTCGAATGAAAGCACATTTCGTAACTCACGGCGAAGATAAGGGAGGTATGTGATAATGTAATGCAAAACTCAATACTTCTGGAAATGTTTATTCCAGTCATAAAGATACAATTGATATTAGATGAGGCATTTCATATGATCCTTTGAAGTTTTTAATCACATGGTTTTCATCTTAATACACCAAATCGAGCAAATAAGGCTAACAGTTCAAGGAATAACTGAAGGATTATATGCTAATAACCTATTGCAAGATGGACGACTTGGTACCTAAAAATCAATTTCAGGTCGAATATCTGCTCCATATTAACTAGTTTAAGAGAAAAGAACAATCCTCCCCTCCCTGTATTAATATTATTGAATTGGAGGGATTGATGATTTTGTCTCTCTTATTATCATTCATTGAAGGGTTTCGTTATCTTCGTAATTCAATTCTAAACATAAGAAAAAAAAAAGGAAAGAATGAAACTCTATAATCCCATTTTCTCTTTGAAATCAAAATAGAGATAAGACATAATTACTCAGCAAAAAGATGGGAAGGAACGATATGATAAGCATTTGATAAATAACGCAAGCTATACATTGATATCGATGATAAACAAGGAATGGGAAGGTTACCAATATTATAGAGAATTCAGCATCTCGTGATATAGGCCTATATATTTCATGAATAACTCGAACTGGATGAATCATCTTCATTATCAGCAAATCGGACCAGTAGATATAGTCGACCATATACTATGATCAAATATAGTCCGTTAGATTCAATTAAAGCGATGACGATCAACTGCGGTGGGATGATGGACCCGCACGGCAAGCTAGCAGGCTGGACAGTTTCTCCGATATGATACAACTCATAACTATACAACCTACTACCTCATCGAGCAAGCTACCATTCGGATTGTAAACGTTGGAGTCGCAGCGTCTGAGAATAGCTTTCTTCATGAGGAAAAACAACAAGATCCGGGACAGGATGGGTATGGTACTGGTTGGAATGATATGGTGGCACGCAGTCTACCCGAGTGCCGAGCTCATGTTCGGAAGAAAATCTCAACACAAGTTCGGATCTACGGGTTGACCGCGGGCTACCTCGCACCGGTAACACACATATACAAACACACGAACACGCAAATACCCGCACACACATACACAGATACACGCACACAGAATCACCGCTGGTCACTATCACACGTTCCGTATAGGATGTAATCAGCGATAGCGTGACGACGACAGTGATGGCGATTGGGTTTTTGGTCATAGCAACGGGTACCACGTCGTGCCAACGACCCTTTTCCTTGAAGTCACACAGCCACTATCATCGTCGCTGTCATTGTCGCCTTCGCCATCGCAGCAGCTCCATCCTCGATCTGACCTCTCACCACATGCTACTCGGAGCAGTCTGAACGAGCTACCTCTACTAACCCGTCATGGTGGGCGCGGTTATTGTGCAAGGGCTGACCTTTGACCTACCCTCTCGATTCACCGACATCTCCCTCCCATTCACTCTTATATATTCCTCTCTCTCTCTCTCTCCCTTTTCCCTTTTTCCATTCTATTCTACTCCGCCTCCCTCCTTCCCTCTCGATAGGGAAAACTTCCCAAATTTACTCCAGAGAATGACTCTTTTGAGGGATAATAATGTCACCATACTTATCACTGCAATCATCAACATTTCCTTCTCTTCCTTCAACCCACATCTTCCATGATATCTCACTGTTCTATCACTACTACCATGAATATCTGGAAAGAAATCGGATTTCTTCACTCAAGGAATATTGCACTGTCAAGGATTGAACGATCGATCAACTCGACTAGATTGATGGTAGTAAGATGAAATGAAATTTGATAAGGTTAATTCTTAAAGACCAAATTGCGAACTATATGATTCCTCAGTAGATCGCTATTATCAACACTGATAACGGATTGAGGGAGAACATTGGGAAAGAGTGAGTATATATGGGAGAGAGCGGGGAATCAGAGGGGAGAGGGGGGCACATTAAACAGGAGAAACATCAGTAATGCAAGGAATGTCCTCTTCAGCCTACCAAGTCCTTCAACACATATATATATATATATGTATGTATACTTGAAGGGGTGGTCTACTACTGAAGCCAATGATAGAACATCCTATACATCAGTGGGACGGGACAGGACGGGACGAGACGAGACGAGACAAGACAAAACGAGACGGGTCGGGACGAGATGTGACGAGACAAGTCGGGACGAGACAGGACGGGACGGATGGATGAGACGGGAGAAAAGTAATCGAGGAGGAATGGTGCCGCTAAAGCATTAACCAGTGTCTGCCCGTGCCAACTACTTCGAATATCAAAGGAACCTTCCTCCCATCCGTTTCTTCCTCTTTTCAACCTCTGTTGTGATAAGGGACAAGAAGTACATATACCACGAGGAAAAGAGGTGAATGTCAAATGTCGAGAACGGGGTGGTGTCATTCGTATCATCCGTAATTGCTGCATCCCATAGACTCATTCCTTCTTGATCCGTTCATTCTCTCTTATATGGTATATCAATTTAGGGACATAATGGCTTCGGATAACCCTGTCCTATCGATTCGTTCGTTCGTTCACTTGTATATGCCAGATGTTCCTGATCTTTTGGATTGTATCTTTTTCACCCCCTCTTCCAAACATTTCTTCCTTCTCTTCCATCCGTCGAATTTCCTGTACCTCGTATGCATGTATCTCTTCCTCTCTCCCTCTCTCTCTCTCTTTCTCCTGAAAAAAAAGAAAAAAACTTTTTCATGTTTCCGTTCTTCTCTGTCTTAAAAGGTGTGAAGAAAAAGCAGACAAAATAAAAAAAAAGAAACAATGAGAAAAAAAAAGAAAAAATAAAAAAATGATCGAAGAAAAAAGCTTGACCTTTCACAATGCTCTCTCTTTTTCTTTACTTCTTTTACATGAATGAATTGTTAAGGTCACTACTCA